AGTAAAGTGTTTACAACAATGTCTGGTATACTAATAAGAGCAAGCTCCAGGGATCAAAAATAGAAAAAAGGTCACACCCGTAATGCCGACACTTTGGGAAGCTGAGGTGGGAGGATCTCTCGAGCCCAGAGGTTTGAGGTTGCAGTGAGCTGTGATCCTGCCACTGCACTCCAGCCTGGGTCACAACCAGACCTTGCCTCCAAAAAAAAAAAAAAAAATTGGTACTGAGGGTTTACTGCCTTGGGCCGGTGTGATGGTCTGGGGAACCAAGGGGCTCAGGTTTAAAGGCCTAGAATGGATCAGAAATGCAGTGTTGGGCCTACTCGAGGTGGGAAGTCGAAGCTAAGACCCCTGCAGAAAGCTGGGATTTGGAAGGAAGGGGCGAAGGGGTAAACTGGAGAAAAAAATCCACTTTTTGATAATTAAAAAGCTATTTTGTCTTTGGGCACTGAATTTAAAAAACAAAAACAAAAATTTCCCCTAAGATTTTGAAATCACAGGCCTGTTCTTCCTTAGGGTTTGAATATTCACTTCCCTTAAGGTCCAGAAACACTTAGGGCTGAGAAATTAACAGAAGACATGCTTCTAGGCTGGTTACACTCGGGGCATTTGACAGAAGCAAAGACGACCCCTCCGGAGGACACACGGATGGTACTCCAGCAGACATCAATCAGCAGAGTCCAAAGTTACATGAAATCCACCCAGAACAACCCGCTGAGAGCAAGAGGCAATGGGAACAGCAGACTCGGACCCCTAAGAACATCCTCTCATAGAAGAAGCAGTAAACATTAAAAAACAAGTATAGTCAAATGATTAAAGAAATAAAAAATAGAGTTGAAAAAGTAAGAAAGAAATAAGATATCATTCCCTTAAATCAGAATTTTTTTTAGTAAGAAGAAAAAGATTTACTGGATCTGAAGAGAAATCAGAGTATATTAAATCAGGTTTTTTAAAGGACTAAATAAATAGAACTTTTGAAAATAAAAATATCTTAAAAATTGAAACTCAGTGGATGATTCAACAGATTAAACACAAAGAAGCAAATTGTAAAATGGAAGGTAGATCTGAGGAGAGCGAAGGAAGGCCCAGGAAGAAGTCTGGGCATAAGAGACACAGGAGGGAGAGAGCAAGGTGCCATGGGCTAATGGCTTAGAATTTTCTAGAAATGCATCCAGACAGGAATCCTCAAAGTCAGGAAGTACAAAAGGCTTCAGTGAGGAATAAAGGATATCAAGATATCGAAGGTGAACATGCCCAGCCCAGCAGCCTGACACACAGCAGGCCCCAGATAAAGGCTGGTTCCTCCTTTCCCAACCCTTGTCGGTCTCTCCTTCTGCCACCTGGGCAGCGCCCCTGTCCCAGCCTGGCATGCCTGCTCTTCCTCCCTGCTCCCAGGCCTCTCCAAATCCCTCTCCTTTGTAGTAATGATCATTCTTTAAAGTCATCCCCAAAGCACACAGCAGACTTAGGAGCCTCGGCTCTGGAGGGGAGTGAGGTACAGGGCAGCCTGGCCCGACAGAACACTGGCTGGAGGGAAGGTGAGGGCAGGCTGGGGCCCTTCGGGAGCACAGGACCTAGGGAAGCCCAGGGAGGAAAGCTTGGTTCAGGGGAGGGAGGCTGAGTACAGTGCAGAGTTCTCAACTCTGCAGGCTGGTGAGAAGAGTCTAACGAAGGTGCCCAGGAGGGGTGAGGGGCTGCCAGGAAAGCAGCTTCAACTCAAGCCGAGGGCCTACCAGGGCCAGATGGAAAGAAGCCCACTTCTGGGGGCTGCAGAAGCCTGCAGGGGGGTGAGAAGGGCTGGGACCCAAGCTCAGGTTACAGGAGGAGTAGTGAGCCTGGCTCCAGCGCCACCGGAGGTGCCCGGGGACTGCTAGAGGAGTGTGAGCGGTGCTTAGCAGGGTTACCCACCTGCGTAAGGTGAGAGCAAGCCTGTAACCGAGCTCTTCCAGCCCAGTCTCTACAGGGAATCTCCCATCCTGCAGCAACGCACCTGTGGCTTGCAGTGGCCACCCTGCCAGGCCTGCACACTGGAGGGCAGGGAGGGAGCCCAGCACAACGGGAGGAGCCAGGGAAGCCCACATCTCAGCCAGGGTCATGGGCTTCCAGAAGGTGCTAACCCTGAACTCTTGACTGTTGTTGGGACATGTGTTTTATTTCCACCTTCTAGAGCAGCAGGTTGTCCTTTATCTAAAATCTATTCTTTAAGTGTGATACGTTCATTGTACAACATTAGAAAGTGTGGAATAGTACTTTCTAACTCCCATTTCTATCTTGTTTTATTTCTATTTTCTTTTCTATATATACATACGCATTTAACATAATTGGTATCTTACTGTATATATAGCTTAGAATCCTTGGTTTTTTCCAATTCATGTTATACAAGACAATATGCCAGTCTTTATTCGGGCATAAAACAAAATGTCATGTACCATTGTTAATGGCTACATAAATGGCACTGTACAGCTGTAACAAAATTTATTTAAGCCATTTTCTGATGCTAGATGTTTAGGCTGCTTCAGATTGTTTGCTCTTTTACACAAGAACCATGTAGAGTTACTTCACCTATCTCTCAAGACCCAGTTCAATTCCCACCTCCTCCGGAAAGCCTTCCTGGACTACTTCAGCATGCAGCAACATCTCCCACCTCGGAATGATGACAACCTGTGGTCCGTACGACACAGCTTAGCATGGATCCTGCACCGTCTCATAGGTGGTAGGCTGGTCTCAGGTCCAGGACTCTACAGCACACATCCCTGGGAGCCTCCAAGGCACCTTGTACACAGCAGGTACTCAATACGTGCTAACTGCTTAGACTCCAGGCCCCTTAGATTGTATGAGCCTGGTCAGCTCCACTTTCCAAGGGTCAGGACTGAAGGTGCCCTCGGTGGCCTGGTTTGATATTTTACTTCTTCTCTGGCCACTGCAGAGGCACAAAGACTCCCTATGGCTCAACCCTAACCTTAAGACCCAGTCCTTCCACATGAAAGTCTTGGGCTCGGGCAAGATTGCCAGGGCTAAAGACTCTCCCAAGTTAACTAGAGCTTTGCTGTACTCATAACTTGGGTATCACCAACATCTGCCCCCACCCCAGGGCTGCACAGTAGGGAGAGGGCTCAGGCTCTGGTGCCAGACAGTCAGGGTTCCGATCCCAGACATGGTGGTAGTCAATTGGCTCTGAACTGTCAATCTGCTCTGAACTCCCTGCTCAAAGGCAATGAGAAGCAGGCCAAGCGGAGACCTGGCTGGCTGACACCTGGAGGAGGTGCATGTGCACAGGGGAAGACTTAGGCCCTACCACCAGCTTTCAGGGATGAGTAAAAATTAAAAATAATATAGCAACAATAGTAAAAATTAAAAAAATTATTTTGCTCCCTCCGTGCCAAGCACCTTGCAGACATGGTAAATTATTCCTAACCACTCTGGTGAGGTAGACACAGTTACCATCCCATTTTATGCCTGAAGGAAGAGGGGCTCAGAGAGGTTAAGCCATCTGCTAAGGTACCAGGTGAGTGGGTGGCAGAGTGGGGATTCAGATCCAGGTCCACGTGACCCAAAGCCTGGCTCTCACCTACAGTCTCAGTGGTAGAGAGCCTTGACCAGCCCTGTTAGTGACTGCGGCAGGATTCTAGAATCCCCTCACTGAGGCCCACAGCTTAGGGCTCCCCCTGAGACTTCCTTCCAACACCAACAACAATCTTCAATCTTCAGCGAGCTTGCTGACACAGGAGGTGCCTCTCTCAAGCAAACACCTCCACTGGCTTCCAAAGTGCCTGACACTGCACTAGGCTGAGGGGGCGGGCACGAATGACCACAGGGTCCCTGCCCTCAAGGCACGCTGAATGAGAGCCTCAGAGGAAGAAGGGAACAAGGGGTGGTGGGGGCTGGGCTGAGGGCTTCCTGGAAGAGGCAGTGACCAAGCGCATCCTGAAGGCTGGGTGTCCCTCCACTTCCTGTACCACCACTCCCTGCCACAGAAGCCTGCATTGCCGACACACCTGATGAGTAGCTGCTCGCAGAAATGCTCTGCCTGTCCAGTCCCTGGGTCTCAGCTAGGCAGTAACCACCGTGGAAATAGATGTTCCTTTGTGAGACAGAAATAGACACACACCCCCAACCTGCCTATGAAATCCCTCTTGTGTACCGAAGGCCTAACCCAATTCCACCTGTCCATCTGCATGATCATCCCCCAGGCAGGACTGTGCTCCAGGCCTCCCAGTTCCCACAACACGCCTGTAGCTCTACAGCGATGTCACATTCTAGTGAGCGAAACATAAATGCGTGCATACTTACACTAGCACACTAGCATGTGCACACACAGACACACACACAGGTCACTGCACCGTACCCCCTGCTGCCCCTTGCACAGGGCAGATGATCAGTAAATATCTGCTGAATTCAATTCAATGAGATGACTTGCTTAAATGCCTGGAGTCTTGGGGTGACTGATGGGATAAAATGCTATGACCAATTCAAAGCAAAAAAACATAAAACACGATTTAAGTGAAACAATGGAGTGTAATGTAAAGGGGCCTCCTGACTGGGCAACCTCAAAAAATTCCACTTTGCCACCTTGCCCATCCACCCCCTCCTCATCTGCAGATTGAGGCTCGCGGTACCCAGCAGGCATCACTCACCCCAGGGCGCTGTGAGGATTCAACAAGGTAACACTCAGGAGGCCCGGGCCAGGGCCTGGTACGCGGGTGCCACTCCACACTTCCAGCTGGTCCAAAGGCGCACGCACACTCAGTCACCGGCAGTCCAAGGGCAAGCAGACAGTCTCAGTGATTTTCAAACCTCTTTGACCATGACCCATAGTAAGAAATATGCCTTACACTGAGACCCAGTACACACAGACTATACACTGCTGCAATGACAGTTCCATGAAACACTTCGCGTGACGAGCGCGCACGTGAGACTGTCTCTTTCCTCTCTTCTATCTCATTGCTAAGCTCACCTCACCACCACCTCCAGGGCAGCGGGAGAGCCCTGCCCTCACTCACCCAGGGTGTCAGAGCCGTTCTCCACCGTCTCGTTGACCTTCCTCGCTACTCTGGCCACGGCCTCACCCATCTTCTTCAGCATGCAGACGCGGGTGTCCTGCTGCCAGCCCCCAGGCCGGTCTGCTGCTCACAAAGGGGCCTGTGCCTGGGGAAGACGCAGGGCCATGAAGTGTCTGCCTGTCAGCGGGGTCCCCACCCCTGCATTCACCCCCAGCAACCTCCTCCCCCAGCCCCGGGTTGCCAGGAAGCCTGCACAGAGGGCCCCAGGTCACTCACCTCCTCCTGCGGAGCCCAGAGCCCAGGCCACATCCAGCTCGGCCTTTGGAGTGGCTGCTCTGCCTGTCAGAGGGTGGGGGCACCTGGGCCCTACCGGCGTTCTGGGAGGACCAACACGTATGACCTCACCAGACCCAGGGTCCAGGCCTGAACCAGCGGCCAGGCAGGCGTGAGGACTCAGGTGTGCGCTGGCCTGTGACTCACTCAACAGGCGGGGCATTGGGGAGGAGGCGGGGCACAGCCAACTGCAGGGGAAAGACACCTGTCCCTCCATCCCACAGCCTTTGAGCTGGCACCCTGTCCATACCCCTCAGGACAATTCTCCAGCTCCCCTGTTCACTCCACTCACACCTGCCAGGCAGGAAGCAGGGACACAAAGGTAAATCAGACCCTGTGAGCCAATCAGAGCTCACAGGCTGGGGGGTGGGTGGTCTCTACAAACTCCCTTCCATGTGCCAATATGGGGATTGACAATTGGCCCGCAGACCTGATTACCAGCTGATGCTGAGTTTATCTGCAAGAAAAGGGAGGGGGAGGAATGGAAATGGGAGAAGGGAAATTGGATCACTAGGGGAGAAGAGGCTGAAAGAAGGATGAGGAAGACAAAATGATAAGGTGTTAAGATATAAAGACACAGAAATGTCCCCAACTCCCAGTTTATTACACAGAAGGAAATTAGGGCACAAAGAGGGGCTAAGTGACCTGGCCAAAGTAAAAACGAGCAAGTGGCAATAATCGGGTCGGCCCAGCTCCATATCCAGTGCTCACTTTTTGCAAAAGTCCCCCACATTGCCAATAGCAGCATTCATTCCACGGAGAGAGGAATGAACCTAAGGCCCAGGTCACACCCCTTTTTGCCTCAGACCCCAATCCCAGCTTCACAGACAGCTCGAGGAGCTGCAACGAACTTGCTCTGAGGGGCAAAGGCAAACGAATGGAAAGGGCAGAGAGGAGGGCCATGGGCGCAGTGCTCAGAGCTGGAACAGACACCAGGACAAAGTTCCCATGTGCTCAAGTGGACAAGCAGGCAGGTGAGGCCACGCCAGAGCTGGCCAAGCCCACCCATGTGCTTGGGGGAGTTGGTGTGAATATAGCATACGTGTGTGTTTCACCAAGGAGGCTGACACTGAAGGTTTGAGACACACGGTACAGTGGGGAAAGACTGTTTTGTGGAGACTGGCCTAATGCCCAACTCAACCATTTATTAGCTGAGAAGCCTTAGGAGAGTTTCTTAGCTGCTCTGAGCCTGTTTCTTCATCTGAGTAGATCTAGTAATACCAACCTTGCTGGGTTAATATGAGGATTGAACAAAATATATATACCTATCTATCTAGCTTGGAGTCTAGGACATTTAAATATTCAATAAACCACAGTTGAGAAAAGAAAGCAGTATATGTGCAGCTATAACACCAGCATCTAATCCCAGTGTGACTCTGAACAAAAAACTCAGTGGAACTCAGCTTAGAGGAATGAGTACAATTTCCATCTCTCCACCTCCAGGAAGTCTTCCCTGATTGCCTCAGTGTTTTCTCTCCTCCTTCTGAGTTTCAGTAGCACTTAATGACTTAGCACACATCATTTGGGTTATTTATGAGCCACACACACACTTGTCTCCCCTGTTGGCCTATGGGGCAGCTTGGGGCAGAGAGCAGATCTATACTGTGCTTCTCACCTTCACTGTACATCAGACACTGAACATAGATGCTTAATTAGTATCCCCCAATGGTGATGATCAGGATTAATGGACATCATTTGGGTTGCAAATCTGAATACAGGTCAGATGGCTCTTATGGCAAATCTAAGACACTGTCTAAATGGAAAAGGGTCATAAATTCAAATGCTTAAAGAGGCCAAGTGGGCAACCTGCAAAAGGTGGGCCAGTACAGGACAATAGGGAATAGAAAGGACTGTGGCAAACTGGACCCAACACCTTCACTGTGCTGCCTTTAAGACCACCCCTTAAGCCTGAATCACAGCCATGTTGCTGGAGTCTTGGTGTCTTATTCTAACCTCTTTAAGAATGGGAAAACTGAGGACCTAAGAGGGGAGGTGAACCAGCTAGATGAAAACAAAGAACCAGCCGGGCACAGTGGCTCACGCCTGTAATCCTAGCACTCTGGGAGGCTGTGGCAGGTGGATCGCGTAGGTCAGGAGTTTGAGACTAGCCTGAGCAAGAGTGAGACCCCATCTCTACTAAAAATAGAAAAAATTAGCCAGGTATGGTAGTGAGCACCTGTAGTCCCAGCTACTCAGGAGGCTGAGGCAGGAGGATGGCTTGAGCCCAGGAGTTTAAGGTTGCTGTGAGCTAGGCTGACACCATGGCACGCTACCCAGGGTGACTGAGTGAGACTCTGTCTAAAAAAAAATAAAAATAAGAAGAAAGAAAGAAAGAAAACAAAGAACTTAGGTCTCTTAATTCCCAGACTGGCACTCTTTCCACCATGTTATGCCTTCTTCTCCCTTCCCCGTCTCCAATATTCATCATCAATAGTCATAAATGTTTATGGAGCATCTACTGGCATGGGGCATGAGAATGAAGAGGGAGGAAGGAAATACAGGAAATGGCTCTGACTTGTGATTCTGATGAGGAAGAGCTCTCTGAAGAACAGCACTGAGGCAATCCTGGCCTCACAGCACAGAGAGAAGGGAAGGGAAGGGAATTGCCACGCTGCCAGAGTCTGTGCTAACCCTGGTGGGACCCGCAGGCTTCTTTCAAACAGGCGCTATTCCTGCAATTCTACTAGCTGCCACCAGGTGGAGGGTGCCTTGGGCCATTGATGAAAACTAGTCAGATTAAAAATCTCACTACTGGTGGCAAACTCAAAACGCCCTGTCATGTGTGTCAGCATGGACACAGGAGCTGGAACAGGAACAACATGTAAAATCTGATATCGGAGAAATTCACTAGGAAGAAGGACCCCTTATATTCCAGAAGATGCTCTGAGTACAGCAGAGATGTGCCTGGGGTACAATCCAAGCAGCGTCAGCACCATTTGAGCAATCAGTGCAGAAGGCAGCTCTCCTGGAACCATAACCCAACCACAGGGCCCCAGGATAGCCCCAAAGACCAGAGTTATGGGATCCTCGAGGCCTATGGTCAACCCCACATGCAGGGATGACGGAAGCAGCGAGTTAGAGAGTGTCCCAAAGGGGAGAAACAGGCACCAATCAGCCCACCTGGGGGAGATCTGGGCTTGGGCGCCCAAGCCAGATGGTACTACTAACCCTGCCAGTCCCAGGCACTGGAAGGGGGCCTCAGAAAATGTAAAGGAAAGCACTCCAAATCCCAACGACCCTTCAGCACAGAGTCTCAGCTCATACTCACACTACTGCTGTCTTTAACATAGCCCTCTCCACACACCCCCAACTCCCTGTTCCTCAGAGTGAGCATCATGGTCCCAGGAAATGTTTAAATCCAACAAACCTCTCCTGGGCACCTTCCATAAGGCCCACACCAGGGGAGTAAAGGTACAAAGATGGGGTATGGGCCAGAACAAGCTCCCACTAAGAGACAGCAACACCAAACCCAGGGGGTCGGGTGAAGGCACATGGCATGGGCAGGGGGAAGGAGCAGAGAAGGTCTGAGCAGCAGGTGCACAAAGGGATTTGGGAGCGAGGGAGACAGTGGTCAGTCTGTTCCCAGATTACTGGGGAGGGGGCTATAGGCCTCTTATAAACCTGTCCTCTGTTTCTCTGTAGGGAACTAAGAGAAGTTTTTTCAGGAAAGTAGCCTAATCCAACCAGACTTTTGGGAAGTTATCAGTGTTGGGAGCAGCCCCATTTGTAAAATGGAAATACGACCTCTCTCACTGAGTTGTTGTGAGAAATATAATAACTGATATGTAACTTTTGAGAACAGACTTTGCAAACCATTAAGTGCTTCCCACACTAAGGCATTACCAATAGGCGATTAAACAAGTGCAGAGAGGAAGTTTGAATATAATATAAATTGGTTGGAGGGGAAAAGTCCTGTTTTATGGGAGCTGGCACTACAGCCCTCCTGTCCCTACAACCTGGTTTCACCTGGATACAACGCTGGAGGAGGGATGATTTTTGCTTAAACCCTGACCGTGGTCCCCTGACTCCCGCCCTTACCAGCAAGAATTCTACCTTATCTGCGGTCCCAAGATCTCTGCAAAGGAGCCACTGCGACACCCCGTCCGCACCAGCTGCTCCTATATTTAGTTACTGGTGTGGTCAGCTGGGAACTTTAGAGCCTGGCAGCCGCTCCAACGAGCAACCGGAGCCTCCTGAGCCATATGTGCGAGCTGCCCCCACCGCTGGCTGCAGCCGGCCTCTCCACCGTGCCAAGCCGGGAGCGGTGGGGAGGTGAGGGACGGAGGGCTTGATGGGACCCAAGTAGACCCAAAGGCCCACTGGAGACCAGAACAGAGTTGACCCACTTTCCCATTCAAGGGGAAGAAGCCCTCTGGGGCGTGAGCTGGACCAGCTGGCGCCTCTTTTTTGCGCCATAGGGTTCGGGGAGCCCTGCGCGTGCTCCCTCATGAGTAGGCATCCTCGGACTGTACCTCTCAGGACTGTGCGCCGTGACCATCCAGGGTCCCCGCGCCCCACGCGCCTGGCCCCGCCTCACCGCCCGGTGCCCACAGCCAATGGCACCGGCAGGCGGGGAACGGGGAGAATAAAGCAGGCTTAGGCGGGGAACGCTGGTGATCGTAGAGGGCCGGGGGCTCCGCGCTGCCCGGAGAGCGAGAGCACGCTCTGGGGCAGGCGTCTGCAGCTCCCCAGAGCGGGAAGAAAACCACGAAAGTGTCGCTTCAGGGACGAAATGCACAGCAGCCTCTCCCAGCAAGGGCGCCTCCCCCGGGAATGGAGGCCCGCCAGGGAGCGCTTCCCTGGGCTCCTATTCTCTGGCACCGCTGCGCCCACTCCCCCGAGCCATCGGAGTCCAGCAGCGGTGTGCCAGCGAGAGCCGGCGCGTGCCGGGCCCCTTGGCACTGCAGGAGCCGCGGCTGGTGCACCGCTGCCCTTTTCCACCGGGTGACCTGGGGGAGGGGA